GATTTTAGATTGCTGCTGAGAACATAATTTACTCTCATCTTGCCAGCTCTTTCAGGTATAATCCACTATCAAAATACAACCAAAAATATGACATGGATAATTTAACAAACCCAATTTCAGACTATAAAATTTTTACTTACTCAAAACTAAACAAAAATTAAGATACATGCAACACACCACCAGAGGGCAGACTGAATATTCTGTACACATACATAGAGTTTGACCACAGATTTAAACTAGTAAAAGATATCAGAATTGGATAAAATTAGATTCAAATGAAAGATATGGAAGTCTAGTTTCAGAATATCTAATCAGATTAAAATTATGACTAACGATCACGAAGATATAGATAAGATATTGCATGAGTGTCATAGAGCTCTATCACACAGGTTCAAGTGCACATAAGATACGTTTGGTCATGAATTAAAGATAGCAAAAAACGTCAAGAATGAGCCAAACTACTTTTAAGAGAAAGCTACATTAGAATAGTTTCAGAAATCGAAAGAATTTCATACATGCAAGTTATATATTGGGAGTTGTGCTCTCCATAATGAACTTGTCTCAAGTAGTCTGTTTGAGACATATGCATCCACTTCTACTAAGTATTCGCGATAGCACATGATATCCAAATTTGAGCAAACCACGTTCAACAGAAAGGTGCATGAATACAAATTTGAAAATAGAAAATTTCACTTAAGAAGGACATTCCTAGAGAAAGTTATGATTAAAATACTAACAGGATGTCTTGCAGAAAATTTTCTGCACGAGAATAAGCCATAGAGACAAACATGCAACCTATTCAATGATCCATACATTGCATGCAACTCATAACCAAATCCGAAGATCATCTTTTTCACAACTTGAAACCCAATATTCATACTGGATCACATTTTTATTGAAAAAAGAGCAAATATGGTGCCTTTTTTACTTTCTACTGCCATGCATGAACCGAAATACCATCTACCATTACATGCAAGCCTAAATTCAACTAAAAATGTACATTGCATGATCAAAGCAGCTATTAATCATGGAAAATTCAAATTTACACTTGCTTGAATCATTATAGTATAATTATAGGAAATTTTACCTGGAGGATGCACAAATCTCCTCTCATTCCAAGCATCAATGCCCTTTGTAGGCTATCTCAAGATGCTTCTTCTTCTTCTTCTTCTCTTTTTTTTTGGAGAAGATAAATGATGGAAAAAATGGGGGGGTGCTGTTGGATGAGGCCGGTCCAGAGGTGGTGGAGGGGAGAGAAGTTTTGGGGGATATTCTTCTTGAAAATGAAAGTCAAATAGAATGAGTGGGGTTTATATAGACATGACATGAGAGTTTTGGGAATGAAAATATATGTTTTGGAGGGTTTATTTGCAAAGTTCTCATTCACTTATGGTTGACCAAATATTTAAATGTGTTATTTAGAGAGTTTTAAAATAAGTATTTATCAAATTGGATTAACTCTACTCGAGGTTTAAAATATGGTTAGTTAAGGTTCACATGCTAGGTTTATATGCATGCTATAACTTAGTTAACTCTATGATAAAATCCAAACTCCATCTCAAGCCTCTAAGGCGAACCCAAATCCAAATTGCCACATCTTCAGTCTAAAATTTCATATGAAAATTGCACACTGGGAATATGCCCCTGGTTAAGCTATATACATGATTATTTTTTAATAAAATTATTGTGTTTTCTCTCTTTTCTAGCTTTCCTTTATTTTAATGATATTTATTGACTCTTAGTTGAAGATTCCTTTCCCCAGAAGGATAACAATAAACTCTTGAATCTATTGGAAACTATAAGCCCACATAAAAGATTAAACCCTGTCATAGGGTGAATGTGATAGGATCAATATGTAAAATAAAGTTATCTACATTAATTGGATGCGCCTATATGCAACTAGTTAAGATAGACAATTTTGACCTCACAAAGCCCAAATCCTTCACCTTTCTTCTTCATCCCAAGGTAAACGAAACCCTCTTTCTCAAGGTGCAGAGAGAGAATGATAAAAAATTTAAATAATGTATATTTATATATTTTTCATTTCAAATGGGGATGCTGTTGGTATTAGAGGAGGGACAAAATAAATTAGGGGTTGTTTGGCTCATGGATTTTGATTTTGGAAATTTTCATAAATCCAAGGATTGCGGAACTCCACAAATCCTCATTTTTTGTTGGAATAATACAAAGTGTTGGATTTTTTTTGTTAGAATTCTAGAACTCCACAAATCCTCATTTTTTGTTAGAATTCCAGAATCCTTTGTTTGCGTACAAATCGAAAGTGTTGGATTTTGATTTTGGCTCATGGATTTTGATTTGGTTAGAATATGGCAAAGTGTACTTTCTAGAATCCTTTGTTTGCATACAAATTCAAAGTTGGATTTGAATTTATGCACGTGCTGGTATTGATTGATTTTTATTGAAAAATGTGGATAACGCTAGTAATTTATTCTTAATTAAACTATGGGGCTCTTTTTTCAATTTTTAATTACCATTTGGTCCATTTTGTCAGCACAATTTGAAATGGGAGTGACTAGGAGTGCAAAATGGTCCGGATATATTTGATCCACAACTGTATTCGAAATGCATGCAGATATGGTAGCCAAAATTTAAAACTAGTCGGCTACGGATACGGTTCTGGATATAGTTTCGAATTTTTGGTTGGATATGGATATCAATCCAAATTTCGGATACGGTCCAAATATTCGAATTTGAATGACTTCAAATATATACTAAGAAACGGATTCAGATACGAATATAGATACAGTTACGGATATGAATATTATAAAATTTTTAATTATGTTGATAACAATTGCCTACGCTTTGGGATATGATCATATGTTTTTAGTTTATTGGATTGTGCTTTATTGAGGTAATCAATTGTACATTTTAAATACTATGATTTGATTATTTTTTTATCAATGAATGTAATAATATGTGAGGTCTAGAAGAAAATTTTGGGGCACTTTGTGTTTCAATTCTTGTCTTCTACTTTTTTTTGTAATCAACCGCATGCAATTCTTGATTTTGTGAGGTCTGCTTAGATTACTGTGGTTAAAATTTCGTGATGTTTTACTATTTGAATTAACTTTTTGTAACCGATGATTTTACTATCCAATTAACGTGATATTTTTAATTAGACTTTTTTTTGGCATATTCGATTGATATCTGGGTCATATTCCTTTTGCAAATATCCGACTTGTATTTGTGATCCTATCCCTATTCGCTTCTCTAATACCCGAATCTTATCCGTTTACGCTTAATGTGGATATGGTTATGGCTTTTTCTTACCAAAAAAATATCCCTATCCATATCCGTTTTCAGAAAGTGGATATGGATATGATAAGTGTCATGTCTGAACATTATCCAAACTAAATATACCCTTAAGGGGTGACGATTTACTGATACCATGTATTTCTTAGTTGGCATCAAAATGTGGATTTCTTTGTGTTCCCAGATGCTGGAACCAAACAAAATATGTTAATCTTGGATTTTGATCTGACAAAAGTTTGGTTCTTGGGACTCACAATTTCATAGATTCTTAAGGACTCCAAGCAACAAAACTGCCCCTATAACATATTTTATCAAGGGACTGGATGTCTTCAAAAAATCAATGTTTTTCTTTTCATTTGTTAAGAGGGAGCTGATTGGTTTTATAGGAGGGACAGAATCACATTATAAAACTTAGAGATGAAATCATTCTGATACAAGTGATGTTCATAATAAAAAAGGCTAGTCATGTGTTGGGAAGTTAGGTGATGAAATTTATAAAGTGGGAACGAAATGTAAAGGCAACCAAGATTGGGGTAGAAGAGGACAATTGTGGACTACAAAAACCATATGCCAGCCCCCCAACCTCAAAAAAAAAAAAAAAACTGTTTTTCAAATTTGATTTTGAGCTTGGATTTATTGTAAATATTTTTCTCATGATGTATTTGTTTCTGATCCATAGGAACTCTTATACATTTTTTTTAAGATACCAGTGCATGATTTTAAACTTCATTAATTTATTTTGCAACCCCATTAGTGTAAACTAGTCAAAAACCAGATAGGTGCAATTTCAAGATCTCAGCCCAGGAAATCTAATGGCCTTATGTTCTTCTGACACATTTCTTTGTAAACACTCATCTATTACAGACATCTTACGCTTCCTCTGTTTCTGAAGCCCATTTTAGCCATCGTCCTCTTACTCTTTCAGATCATGGACCTTTTCCCTGGAAAATTAACCGATAATAGAAGAGAAGTCCTTTATGGGAAAGAGGTCTGTAAATGTTATACTCTGTCCATCAGAAATGCACAATCTTGTGTTGCGAGCCATTAACCGTGACATATGGTTTGAATATAGATATTTCTATTAGATTGCTCCACTTTTGCGTAGTTACTTATATCCTAACATGGGGTAAGCCTGTGATAATTCTTCACGTGGAAGTTGGAACCTAATGTGGACTGTAGCCTTACATCTTTTTGTCTCCTTACGATGTAAATTTTCTCTCTTATGATTTATTGATTTATGCACTGAACCTGGACACACTTTTAAATAGAAGAATAAAAGTGTTTAATCACTAGTTTTGGGCCCATTGGCGTACGCTCGTCAAGGAACAAAACAGGTGCATTTTCAAAATCTCAGCCCAGGAAATTATAATATCCTTGTGTTGTTGTAGTATTTTTCTTTTAAACATACTGATCTATTTCTGTAATCTTGCCCACCCTTATTTCTGAAATCCATTTTGACCAACAATGTTTTACTATTACAGATCACGGACCCTTTCCTTGGAGAAACAACTCTTAGTAGAAGCTGTTTGTTAAAACCGATTTATGAACTTGATAGTTTGCTCATCACAAATGCAGTTCAAGCCATAAGAAAGAATAAATGGTTTAAATGCAGATACATCTAATAGATTACTCCACTTTTACTTGCTGACTTGATTGCCTAATTATTTGTACTGTACCTTAATGTGAACTCCCGCCTTACTTCCTTTTATCTTCTTACGATGCAAAAGCTACCCACAACCCGTGCAAAATCACCAAAACTTGGCCGAAGGAAGAGTTGTGGTGATACTACGAATACTTCTCAAGGAGAAAACAAGAGCAATCACGCAACCGAACGAGCAACTCGTCACAGTCTGGGGAGTTACAAAATTGGCAACAAACCGCAAAACAAAGCAAAGAATGAGAGTCCTGTCCTCAAAAATAATGGAGTAGCCAGATCTGCAACAGAGGGGTCCAGCAAGTCCCACCCTAGAGTAACCAAGCAGATAACTGCTGAAATCGCCATAGAGTCTTGACCTCTATCTACTCTTGCATCACAGAAATGGAGCATTGATTTCTTTGAAGATTCATATTTTTGGTTATGGAAGAATCTATATATGGAGAGCTTGTTGCTGGGACTCAGTGTGATGTTTGATGTTGTAAATTATGTAAGTTATACTAATGTTTGTATGTAACTGAACTGTTATGGCTTGAAACTGCTGTTGTGACATTTAGCCTTGACACAAGGTTTGAGCCTCAGTCTTTTTTAATGGACACCAGCTCGATTTTGGTATTATCGGTCTGTATTTTAAGCCCGTTTTGAGAATCGCCTTAACAAAGTTACTTGCATGTTATTGATTTCTGCAACTCAAGTGATCTCCTGCTACTTCGATGCGGTTTGTCTCGGTTCTTTATCTGGAGTATGGTTTTTCCATACCGAAAGTGGAGCAAAACCGTGACCGGTTTCCTTCGTCAGAGGATTTCTGAGCTAACTGCTTATCATATTACAGTTATTACAGTCGAATTCTCGGTTCAAGTCCTTACAGGTTCATCATAATTAACATCATAGTGGTTGTCACCCGTTTAGGGTGGCCACAAGTTTGGTTGTTTGTTGGCTGTATTTTGTTAGCTTCAGAGTTGGGCATGTTAGCTGTATGTTCTTGTTAGCCAGCACAACATCAGGTACAATTTTTAGGTGCAGGAATTGGCTCTCACTTGAGGTCATCAGCAATTTTTCCAACAGTGATATACTGCGAGCATTAGATGTTGAAACAGTGCCAAAGATGAACGAAAAGGGAGCTCTCTCTTCATCCTCCTCAAATCTTCATCGAACCAAAACGTAAACCGAAGCTTCGTGTTTAATGGTCTTTATAAAGCTACACGTGTTTAATGACACATGAGACGAGCAAAACCCAAGCTTTTCTGCTGTGCATCTTAACATATTTGAGGGGGGGTGCGTTGCGTAACGGTCACGCTTGGAGCTTTCTCACGTGCCCACGATGTTCCCTAGTTCTTCCGTAACAGGCGCCAACGCCAACAGCCATTTCAAGATCACTTCCCCTTCTGACAATATTCCATTACCAAATCCCCTAAGTCCTCTTTTCTTAGTTTTGCTCTCCTCACTTTTTTTTTGGGGGGGTGTTAAATTTCACGAAACCCCCCGGACCTTGGGGGAATTTGTGCAAACTACCTAGAGCTTTGTGAGTTCCGCTAAACCCCCCTGAACTTTGGAGGGCTTCATAAACTCCCCGAAATTTCGGAGATTAGCATCAACGGGGCTACGAGGATGAAGGGGAAATTGGGTATTAGTTTTTATTTTTAAAGACATTTTGTTGTCCTTCGGCTCCGTCAGTTATAATTTCCCAGACTTTAGAGGGCTTTTCCAATGAAGTCCTCAAGAGCCGTTGTAGGGGGTCGCGGAGCTTATGAAGTGAATCTGGGGGGGTTTTAGCGAAATTCGCTTGGGCTTTGTCAGAGGCCCTCGCCTCCTGTTTTGCTTGGTACTGAAGCTTGGAATCACAACTTGGCTTGTGCAAACCCCCCCACCCCAACCTCCATTTTTATCAAGGCTCCCTCGACCTCTCTTTCCTTCTCTTTTCAAGTGGAAATAAAGCAAAAGAGAAATCCTTTGCTTGGGAATAAGACACAATGTCAAGGACCCCTTGCTAAGTCAGACCATAAAGAATAACAAAAAGGTTTGATTAAGAAGCTTAATTAATCAAATCCGAGAATATAATCATCACATCTAAATTCCCCATGAACTATAGCTTAATGCGAAAAGGTCCACGAAAAAAATAAGCTTATCCGAAAGTTGTGTTCAATTAGAACCCGCTGTAATTAATTGTCACGCTACTAGCTAGCACGTAGTACGCTCAAACTAATGTAGTAGGTTGACCTAATGATTATGGCATCTAACAAAAGCTCTAGAAGGAGTAAGTTGCAATTATAATACATGAGACAAATTAAAAGTCCCATTGCGTTAACAAAAAACTACTAATAAGCCAATTTATGCAGTAGCCATCATGTGTGAGAGGGCTTTCTTGAAAGTGAACTCCAAATTCATTTACACTAGTAATCTCCTTCCCCACTCACCCCCCACCCAAAAAAAAAAAAAAGAAAAAAAAGAAAAAGAAAAACCCACCCCTTCTCTCCTACGACCCTCAACGTATAAAAGTCCACATATAAAGATATATATTTGCATTTGCATGGGTCTCTCTCACCCCCACCCCCTCCCTCGTTCATTCATTGATAGTTGAGGGGATTGTTGTCTGGTTCGAAGTCATTCACGTATGAAGAATACGTACGCTGGCCGTATCGATCGAGATCTTCAGGTTCGATCACCAAAGAGCTAGAATGATTTCGGACCAGGCTTCATTCCCCCTAACTCACGGAATCAATCATGCACCATCATGGATGGAGGATGCCCATCGACGAGACGAGCATAATTAAATCGCCGCGAAAGGCTCAAACAAGTAAGATGCTCATTCTTAATACACAAATTTGCTAGCTAGTTCTAGGTTTCTTCTTTGTTCTTAATTTGTTCTTAGCTATTGGGGTTAATTGAGGGGGCGGATAAAAAAAAAAAAACATGACATGAGTTGGTGTGAATTCAATATATATATGACTTAATTAATTTGGACAACATAATACGGCTATTTAATTTCTTTGGAAAAGTACTATCTGAAACATATAGTTTGCCTCGAGAATGTGATTGTTGTTGTTGTTGTTATTATTATTAATTGTTCTCAAGAGATAGTTAGTTTAATTTGTGTAAAAATATTTGGTGAGATCGCGAAGATGTTCTTTCTTTAGCGAGTGAGTACACAAAGGAGTTTCTAAGCAAGTGATATGATGACGAAACTACTGTTCAAAGACTAGATAAGATTTGATGCTTACATTGCTTTCTTTCTTTCTTTCCTTCAATTCCTTCTCTTTTAGTTTCAATGCCATGTGAGTCTCTGATCATCTCCTCAAGAAAAAGGGTGTTCCTAAAAGAATAATCCCAGTAGCAGCACGTGCCTGATAGGGTATATATTAAGAAATTGGCGATATTGTATGTATGTACAATATATAATCACAGTTTATAACTACAGAATGATTAAGCAAGGAATTATCTCATTCTAGCCACTGCAAACTTAATTACTTCTGTGAAATATGAGGGACCATATATGATGAAGTGAATTCTACTTCCTCGTTCACACAAACACACACACACAGAAATATGTGATATTAATATGGAATATTGAGGTGTATTCACATGAGAACACACACTCAATAAACATATATACAGAAAATGCATACATTATATATTTACGTAAAAAATTCAGTTTCTATGCCATAAAAAGCATACGAAAGAAATACACACACATATAGGAAATAATGTGTATGAGATGACGGCTCATTTTGCTAAATGAGCTACTAAAAGATTACCATGTGGTGAGACCCACCTTACAAGTCACATTAAAAGGCGTGGACCTCACTACTCTATCTCTTGGTAGCTCATTTAGCAAAATGAGCAGCCACCTCATACCCATCATGCCCACCTTACAAGTCACATTAAAAGGTGTGGACCTCACTACTCTATCTCTTGGTAGCTCATTTAGCAAAATGAGCCGCCACCTCATACCCATCATTCTTTTATATATATATACACACACGCACGCGCGCACGCGCGCAAGGAGAGGTTTTAATGTAACTGCGTGTTGTAGGGAGAGTTTTTAATAATCCTAAGAACACGCCTAGTATATTCGTGCATGTCTACTTACAAAACATGTGTGTTATACAATTAAATTTTATCATCCATTAGGTTTAACTTGATCGGAATCATGTCTTCAAAGTTTCATTACTGGTCATTTAAAAAAAAATTATCAATGGAAAATCAAATATCAGACTACCAATATAAAAAAGATACAATCTACTAATTAATCAGGAAGAGGTCCTAATATCTTGATGAGTACACAATACAGTGCACTGAAACATTCGAGTCTTCATGAGAACAATGAAAAATCTGAGCACAATGAAAAAAACACACTTCTAATTAGGCTACTAGCTTGTCTCAAAAGTAATCGCTTAATTTGTAAAATCCGAGCACCGATATTTTTAGTTAATTAAAAAAGCTTTGCTTCCTAAATTATTTACACGTTTGTTTTTCAAAGTGTGGCCTAAAACTCATCATCTCCATCAAGTTTTTCTCCTCCGTAATTATTTGTGCTACCAAAAAGGGCTTCTAGGTATTTGGCAACAGTTGTCATCTAAATTAACAAAAGTGAAAAAGTAATATCAAGTGCCTATATTAGAAAGACGTCAATATCCAGATGCATAATAAAGAGAAACTTTTAGTCCCTAAGAATTGATGGTTCTGATGAATGTTTTGACATTAACATTTCCACCAACCAAGTCACTTATTATGTTTCGCAATAAATAGTCACTCAAAATTTCCTTTCGGTTTTGGGTGTAGCTATAAGCTTGAGTTATTTATTTACTTTGTGAAAATTGATAGTCCAAGGACGTGGAGGAATAAATATCACATAGAAAATCAAAAATAGGGAGGAAGGACATTGAGATCTTTTCGTTATCAATTTTAAACCAGATAATCAATACACAATATCAATACAATCACTATTAGGACAATAAAAATATTATACCGACGATATAAACAATACTGTACCAATTCAACCAGAGTACTATATAGAATATCAATATACTGCACTATCAGACAATCAGAAAAAATTACATCAGCGCACTAGCCAATATTGTACCAGTGCAATAAGACTACTATACAAGTGCCCATCAAGTGTAAAATTTGTGTTAGATATAGCTTGCTGCAGTTTTCTTAATTACTCCTGTAAGATTTTCTATAGAGGATTTCGTGGGGGTTTTTTCCCCATGGATGTGAAACTAAAGCAACTAACATCTGCCTTCTTTCATCATTAAAACTTGTGGTGAAAGGTCTTGGCGACATTTGAGTGATGAAGCTAGATAGAATGAGTTGGGAGGAATACTGTCCATGTCTAGGGCAAGGTTGGTGTCCAATCACATTGGTTACATTGAAAGAAACCCATCATTTACTGCATAAAAAGATTGAGTGGGACCCGCGTAAATGATAGGCCCACATTGGCTTCCTTAAAAGGAATAAAATGTTCTTCAACGGTTGAACTAGAGCTTGGTCCAGAAAAATCTCCTTACTTTCTCTCAATCTATTTTTTCATACATTATAAAGGGTTAATCAGATTTGAATATACAAAATTTCACTCAAATGTCACATAGATAACCAAGCTTCAAAACCTTGCAAATAAATACCCAATTTCGATCGTAAAATACTTAAAC